AAATCATTTTAATCCTTATTAAAGACATTTTTCATTTTTAAAAGGCATATTTCAACAAAATATGTGATTTTATTAACTTTTTGTTGGAAAACACACAATTTTAAAATTAGAATTAGAATTTACATTATTTTTCACAGATTCCTGTTTAAAAATTAACAATAGGTTATATTTTACACTCAATACTTTAAAATATGACTAAAAAGGTAGCATTATGCATCTAAAATGTGGAAAGAAGTCAGAGAATATTGTTTTTTCATTTTATATGACTTAACATTATTTGCACCAGCTGACCGCAGTCAATTATAGTGTCTACAGACTTTGCGGTAAAGGGTGTTAAAGCTGATTTTTCAAGAATAGACTAATTCTAGGTTTGCGAATGAATTTTTAGCATAAGCGACAACTGCGATAAAATGTAAACAAGTAAAAATGTTTTCACAGAATGATAATTTCTACAGAAACATGATTTATTTTAATTTATTCAGACCTCCAGTGATACATACATTACTGCATTGGAAGAACAGAAATAATGAAATGAGTCAGATCTGTCTAATAAACTTAATACATAAGCTACATTAGTAAAATTCATTAAGAATTTATCAAAGTAAGGAAGGTTATGACCAAAAAATCCTGAAATACTGTCAAGGTCTGCATGATAATACTTATTCTGAGTTCTAACCATGCATCATACATGTAGTGCAGAATGTCACTTAGCAGCATGGCATGCCTTTTGTGGTTCTAAGGACTTTATTTATGCTTTCGCAGCTGACATTCATGTTTTTTCAGTTTGTCGGAGACTGTTTTTTGTTATTTTTTCATTTATATGTAGGTGTTGACTGTCACTTTTGAATTAACTCTCAGTCAGTGATGCTTATATGAGCATGATCTACTAAGTATATCATTGTACTGAAATATTAATAAATTCCAAATTGAACTGATGAAGAAATTTGGCATATTTACATAATTGAAATATCAGAATAACTATAATTCAGCTAATAAGGTGCACATTTCTTCTCAGATCACTTCCTATAAATTTTATCAACAGTTTTGGTACACCCACCCACCTCAAAGAATCATGGAGGATGTCCTGAATCTGGTCTCTGTGATGCATTTTGTCTCATAGAAAAGTGTTCAAACTCATTAAAATGTTTAATATTTATATTTTAAAATCTAAATGTTCATTTTTTTATGTAAATTTGTTGAAACAAAAAGATATAATCTGGCATAAATCATGGAAATTCATTAAACACCTTTGGAATTCCTGAATAAATCCATGAAAAGAGAATAATTATGCATGTTAAATTGAAATTTCATGGCTAATTTGTGTCTTAAGAGAAAGCCAGTTGCATAAATCACAACAATAAATTACATCTGAATTGTTGTCTCCAGGTTCTTATCATCAAAGCCAGTTTAATGGAGTGTGGGAGCTGTGAAGAACCTCCCTAGATGCTGATATCATTTTGACTGCCCTGAGTTACAACACAGCATTTAGATAAACTTCTGCACAGCAGCTTGTAGACACATACCTGGGCTTTATTTGGAACATAAATTGACCAGATACAGTGTTCATTATCAACCCAGTATTTAACAATTTCTGTATTTTTGTTCATTCTTTGAAGGGGAAAATGCAACTTTGTTATGTAATAATTACATAATGGTCTTAGACTTGTAAACTCTTTTCTGTTTGTGGTGAAGAACAAAGCATATACTCTCCACGGATAAAAAATTGGTTGCCAAGCTTATTCTTTTAATGGTGAAATTCTGCTTCAAAAGATGCACAAAAAACTGCTTCCAGAGTGCTGTGTGTGTTGTTCTTGACTGCTCTGGAGTAAGGGAGATAAATGCTTCATATCTTCAGAAATAAGGGGATTTAGATCACCAGACTTAGGGATGTTGGGGACAATTATTTCATGAATCTCAGGTGCAAAAATGGAAAAAATCGAACACCTTCAAAGGTCCTTCAAGGTATCACACCGGTAATTGACCAATCAAAATGAACTTAGTCAAATGTAGGTCCATATATATAGAATTAATTTTCTTTTCTTTTGAGGCGTTTTTCTATTTTCTTCCATGCCACTTTTACAACTTTGGTACCTGTGCCTAGTAAATTTTATGTACTTTGTGAATAAATAAAGGTTTTGGACAGGAACTATTTTTTTCATGGCATAGGAGGCTACTTCCTGTAGTGCACTCGAGGTGTTTATAAACACAGTGAAAACATGTAGATTTGAGGGTAGCCCTGTTTGCAGATGGAAAAAGTCCAAAAGTGCCGTGTAGGTAGCCTGTTTTTTGGTGTCAGCTAATGTGGCAGGTAATGTTTAACACCTTCTGCTAAATATTTTTTCATGTAAACAAATACCTGATTTTTAACGATTTTTTATTCTATATAGAATTATATAGTGAAAACAATTACCGGTGTGATACCTTGAAGAGGTAGCATTTTCACAAAAATAAGTCCATAAAACTCTGTTATATACACATCCGCATGTCCTCATCAGTTGGCAGGAGATTTTCAACTACTCAGCTGCTCACAGGACATGCTTTTATACTGATTTCTTTGTGTATGAGTATTTTACATGCACGAGTGAATTTGATGACAACAACTCAGAACTCGACTTTCAGTATTTATTTTTTAAGATTTTTTTTCGTATTTTCATCACACAAAATACCTTGATTAAGGTATTTTAAATACCTTGATAAAGCTATATAGCTTTAACAAGCTATATACCTTTATCAAGGTATTGTGCTGGACCTGTCCCATTTGGATGATTGGTCCCAACCTGTTCTATGCACATGATTTTTTAAAAGAGTGATAGATCTTTTTGATCTAGAGATTTATTTCAGCAATTTGATAAACATCGTTAAAATCAGGCACAGGGGCATCTTATCCACTCTGTTCTCTACTTCACATATAAAAATACACAAGGGCCCTGTGATGCAGGTGTTTGTGTTTAGAAAATATTTAGAAGTGAAGAATCAAGAAGTGCCAGTCCCTGAAATATAGGAAATATAATGTATTATCCAAAAAGATTACTTACATATCTCAAACTGGCGATAGTTCTTAAAAATTACGGCCCTATTCATAATTGTCAAATATAATCGCTGAGAAAGTCAGAAATTATTTTATAAAGAAAATTAAAAACATGGCGGAAGTTAAATTTATCATGTTAAGGCGTGCGAAAAACTATTCGTGCTGCCTGTTTTCCCCTTTACGTTTGGTTTAAACAAGTTAATATGTATATCTATTGATATGTAAAAAAATAAAATCTGTATATAATTTTTTTTCAATTGGAAAATAACCATTTAACTCAGTCTCTGCGCTACTGTATACATGTATTTTGAAAAAAAGGGGGGGCACCTTTTCTGGTCAGACCATGTATTTTTTAATGTTCTGAATAATATCTTTTTTCTTTGCCGAAAAGGTTAATCAAAAATCATATATTATATTTTCCATTAACCCCCCCCCCTCCATTTTACCCTCAAGAAGCAAAAAACGCACAAGCCAAAAATATACTTGTAAGTCATAAAACGATTTCATTTTGCCCAAGTATTGCATTCATTTAACATTTTAGAAGATATATTTTTTTCAAAATCAATGTTTTATTATATGCTTAGAATACGCATTTAATGACATATTGCACACAAATATTTAGAGAAATTGACAGAATTCATAGACATTGAGCAAAACAATCAATTCAAGGGCTCCTTTTTTCTTTGCTTGCCAAGGAATATTTGGTAGAACTTGAATTCCTTCCTATCGTCCTATACATAAAGGATTAAGGACAGTTGATACAAACAAACTTTTTTCAAAAAAATTTGAAAATAAAAACTTGGTTCATGTTTTAATGAGTAAAAATGAATAACTTTCACCGCGTGGTCTGATTTTTTTATTGAAATTTTCACAAAGAAATGGGATTTGAATTGAAAAAAAATATTTGTATAGATTAATAAGGATGGTTTCAGAAGGACAGACTTTTGAACATTCCAGAAGGTTTACAATTTTTAAAATATATTCTATAGCTAGAAATTTATTATTCGCATCATTTGCATGCAAGGCCAAAAATATATACCAATCCAGGCATCCATTTTTTTGTATCATGTGTCGTTAACGAAATTCTATATTTAGGCCTAAATTAAAATATCGTTTGTTTGCCCTTAGCCGACCGATCGACGAAAATTAGCCCGACTCAAAATATTTTATTCCAGTTTTCAGTCATACATTTTTTTTTTATTTTCAACATTAAAAAAAAAATTCCAAATGTACTAGTACATCTTGATCCATGAAGCATAAGTTCCAATAACAAAGAGTAATGTACATGAACATTATTGATTTTTTAAAATTTTAATAGTAATTTGATTTGAAGTCAAGAAGAAAAAAAATTAAATATTTTTCCTACCTACCTACCCATTCCTAAAAATCTGGGTCGGTAAATGGCAAACAAACATATTTTTAATTTTGGCCTTACATGTATATATGCTACAAACGTAGGCGTCGGAAACGGGGGGCTATTACCCCGCTTTTTTTTTGTAAATATATACATTATATACATGTAGGCGTTGAAAATTGAGGGTTACCTTTTTTGGTTGGTTTAGCCCCCCCCCCCCCATTTCAATTTGCTTCCGTCACCTATGACAAATACAACAGTCAATCCTAATGTATCGAGTCTGTATATAGAACATATAATAATAATGAAATTGTTCCTTGATTCTTTCATTATAATTTCAAAAAAAAAAAATCTTATATTTCCATTGTAATAATGTATGTATAAAATATGGCAACACAAGTTTAGCTTCACGTACCAAGTGGTTTAACGTTAGATAATACAATGCACAGGTAGTAAGAAGGTAAATCGTTCATTATAGTAGCATGTGTTATAAATACAATACAACGAGAAACATTCAATACAATTAATATTCAAACACCCGCCCGAATGAAAAATGTACACTATTATTGTGCCTGGTTTTACTACTAAAATACACGAAAACGCAGGAGGTTCCGGGGGCTTCGCTCCCTGGGCCCCCACCAGGGCTTCGCCCTGAACCCACTAAGGACCTTAAAAGGCGGCCCCCAGACCTCTTGCCTCAATAAAGTTATCCACGCCTCCCCTTATCACAAATCCTGTATCCGCCCATGGTGGGATGGGGTGGGGTGGGGTTCGGACTTCTTTCAAGACAAAATTTTGTAAACTCAAACACATTACATGTACCACAGGCACTTGTTTCGGAAATAAATTTAACCCATAGTACTTACTAATAATAACACTTGTGTTGTAAAATATATTATGGGCACGTATATCTAACTAGAGGTACTGTGAGCGATGAGCTCACTAAATGATACCCCCCGCCTACCATATGGTTATCATTGGTGAAAAAGTCCATGTTTTCCTGTGGCCGGGAAACCCAAAATATGTGTCAGATCAAAAAGTAAAATAGGAGGTGCACAATGGCAATATGTAATAAAGATTCTGTGAAAGTTGCATCAAATTTCATTCAGTGGTATGAGAGGAGTTGCGGATAAGAGATGGGTACCCCAAAGCGTAACAGACGGACGGACGGACAGACGGAAGGACGGACGGACGGACGGACGGACGGACAGACGTACAGACGGACGGAATTAACGAACAGACGGACAGAATTAACGATTACTATATACCCTCCCGCTTTTCAAGCGGGGGTATAATAATAATTAAACTAGGTACTAAGGGGTATACATTTCTTTTTATTAAAAGAAAAATGAGTAACGTCAGGTGCCTGTGACTATGGGTTAAAATTTGTTTCCGAAACAAGTGCCTGTGACAAGTACATGTTCTTTATTTCCCCTATATTTGACTATATAGGCCTTTGCTGCAAAAATGGGTGGAAAGAAGCCCCCCCCCTCCCCTTGCTATCTGCATGGAACCTACAGAACAGCCGTATTTTCTGAAGTCATTAATTACGAATTGTTAATCTTCTAAACAACAATTCTATTTAAAAAAAAAAACGTATAAGAAGCATTTTAGAACTTTCCGGAAAATATCATTCTATCTGACGTTTTTAATTTTATTTTGAAATTGCGAGTTCCTCTAAATTGTTTACATGTATCTAGCGAAAATCTTTTACAAGAATTGTCTTATATTTATATAAATGGCAGCTAGACAATATCATCTTAAGTTCGGACCATCAGCAGCCGCTTCGGTTGACGCGTATGCTGAGTATAAAAGGTTAGATTTCTAAAGAAAATCGGTGTAAACAATATTTGTCTAGAATTTCCTCTGATCACATGTACATGGACAGATGGAGCTAGCTTTATGAATATGCAATGCAGCTATTGATCCTTAACTTCTTTTCGTTTCAATATGTTCAATACTTCTCTTAAAAGATCTAATCTTTAACGACAGCCATGATAACTATCAGCTTTATTGGTTAAAATATTTATTATATTCCCATATTGAAGGTCTGGTACAATTACTAGATTTAGCTACGTAGCTTGATTTACCTACATAGCTTTATTTACCTACCTAAGGTAGCTTAATCCCTGTTGAGATTCTGCTGGCCAGGGCTAGATATTTGGACTGACACCGTCGCAGATTTTGCATGTTTTGTCTGCGACTGTGTCAGTCCAATTAAATATCTAGCCCAGCAGAATCTCAACAGGGATTAAAGGTAGCTTTATTTTCCAGCTACCAAATCAATTTATTTCTATAAAAAAGCATTTTTCTCAGGGTGTGCAGAAAACATCATTTTGATGCAGTGGTCATTTTCAACTTTGAACTCATCTGAAAACAACTCATGAAAAAATCCCTCTTGGAAAAATGTCTTTTTCTGCGCATTTGCAATCAAAATTCTGAAAGTTTTGGGGCTATGTATGACAGATAGAACAGTTACTCCTTGAATGAACTGACAAAGAAGTCCAGTTCCCGTTAACACGATAACAGGTCGGTAATTATTCAGCACAATGTGAAGTAATCATACTCAGCCATGCCTCACCACACGCATAAGAGAGGACAGTTAACCAAACAATGAAATTACATGTTTTGCTCTATATTGTCCAAACGCAGCAATGTATAAACTATCTCTGCTTTGGATTGTTTTTTTAAGCCTCCCTAATATGAATATCAATAGTCATTTAATTGCAATTTTTTGTCTCTTTTTTATAAAATGAAAACTTTGAAAAGTTGCATTGAAATAGCTAAATACCTACCTGAGGTAGGTAAATAAAGCTACGTAGGTAATTCTACCTACGTAGCTAAATCTAGTGATTGTACTGGACCTGTTTCGTTCCTAGTATTTTGAATACACTTTTCATCAATTCATGAAATAAACAGGTGTTCAATAGACAAGAGGATCATATAGATGTGTAAAACACAATTTTGGCAACTAAAGAATGTATTTTTAAAAAATTGTAATGAAATCAAATATCTGAACTGTAAATTAAAGATTTTTCAAGCTGAAACAAACAACTTTTTTAAATCATAGGAGGTAATGACTAACAACAGCATTCAAGAAAAGTAAACATTGAATTTCTAATTTTTCCCCTATTAAAATTTGGATATCAATACAGAGCTTTTTTGAGAAATGTTTAACAGTTCATGTTTGTATTTATTTTTAGGATAGTTGGGGATGATGATGGAGGAGTCTTGTTTACACCTGAACAATATGAAGCATACAAAAAGAGAGTCATCCCAATGGTGAGATACATGTATATTTTAAAATCTAATTTGGAGTAAAAGCATGCATATACATGTGAAACGGGAGAGGAGAACAATTCAGTAGACCAGACTGGGATTCGAATCCATGCCCCATGAATTTCCAGTCAGATGCTCTACCTGGCAGCTGAGCTATCTGGCCATCGGCAATGGAACCCGGCTGACTGCCACACACATATTAAGTGTTTCTGTAAAATAGAATTAATTTTTTTTTATATGTATATGACAAGATAGACATATTACTTGTAAGGAATTCATATCTCCATTGCAAGGAAATTCATTAACCTGTTAGAGAATATTGTATTGACAGTTTTTTTCTCAACTTTTATGTAAACTTTCAGAGATTTTTTTCAACCTTTCATATGTTTTATTTTCCTTGTTAGAGAATGAAGAACAGAATTTTCACTTGCTGGATTAACCCAGAGGGTATGGATTGTAAACTAGTAGGGCCTGAGACACTTTGCTTTTGCAATCACAGGTAAATAATAATATAATTTTAATTTGTGCACATATGAATTTTAATAAATGCCAGGTACTTTTCAATCACAGGTAATTGAAGATTTTTGAAATACCATATGTATTAGATATAAACAATGACAATTATTATTATTCTCTAAAGCCAAATTTACTTTTCGTGAAATTACATTTGAAATGTATTAAAAGCAACAAATGCAGTTATATACATGCACCCTTTATAGAATTTAATGAATATGTATGGTACCATAAATGCACATACAATATATATGGTATTATAATAATGTATAAGTTGGGTGTACATACATACAATTTTAAACAACTGAAAGTTCAGAACATTAACAGTTACTGTATTAAACACCTTTAAATGTTTTCTCAGATACAGACAACATAAAACAGATTTTGAGGTCCTCCCACAGGACCGTCCCATCCTGTTACCCTGCAAGGTCAAAGGTTGTGGCTGCTACTCCTACGAATACGTCCCACTGAATGGAAGTCAGTCCATCCGATGTACATGTAAACACTTCACCGAGGAGCACACAGCCAAAGCCCCACACAAGTGTAAAAGTGGTAGGTTATACTTGTAAAATTAACCTTATTGTTAATTATTTATTTACTTAATTTTTTGTGGCTGGCATTCATCTTGTATGACAGGTAAAACAGGACTAGATAATTAACTTGATTGGATCATGATTAATTACTTTTAGATAATCGTACATGAAATCTGTCTATTAATCCAACATTCACTAGGATACAAATTTTGTGTTGGAATAGACAAGGTATCAGATTGCACAGTGTAAAGAACAAAGAAATACTTTATACTGTAGATTCCTAATTATATGCGAGGAATTAATTATCGCGTAATTTCGCGAGAAGCAACACTTGCGAAATAAAATACCGTATAGCGGGTTTTCTTGGCGGGTGTAAAATTTGGCGTTTTGCCTGCTCAAAGGTATACCAATAATTTGAGCGTAATTTATTTTAGCGGACACAGGGCTTTAGTTCTTTGCAGATAAACACTAAAAATAGTAGTGAATATTTTAGTGATTAAAATTTTCGCGGACTACCATCAAAATGCCAAAATAAGCCAAAATTAGCACCCCGCTAAAATAACCCGCTATACCGTAACTCGCTTTTATTTTTATGGTGCTGAAATCCATGTAAATTCTATTGATGAAGCGTCCATTCGCGAATTATTATTCTTGCTATTTGACGTTAGAGAGCCGTCTCGCGATAATAAGTACTCGCGAAAAATAAGGAATCTACAGTAGTAAAATAGGAAAGAAATTTAACGTCGGAATTCACAGTGTGATAGATTACCAGGTACTCAAGTGTCGGATTAAACAGTTTTCTCTGTACTAACAAAAACTTTTCATAAAGGTTTCCTAAACAGTGCACATAATGATGAAAGAAAGAAAAATATTTTTGTTTGTTTGTTCTGTTTTTTTGCATTAAACCACCAATTTGATCTATAGATACATGTACAGTATAATCAACATAATTGATGTGACATTATATATGCCAATATTCATAGAGGGTTTCCACTTTTCTTCAGGCAAGTGTGGTTGTACCGGATTCCACAGCTCCTTCACATGTGGTTGTGGAAATCCCTACTCAGCTCATGAGATGCTGATCGAGACTAAGGATGAGAGGGTAGCCCGGGGTCATCCCGTGGGTCAGGACGTCCCTTACCAGGCCATGGGAGGGATCACTGGCTTCTCCTCACTAATGGATGGGTATATGAGACTGGATCCAAGTGGCATAGGTAACTTGGATTATAGTTCAAGAAGTATTTTATTCATGATATAGAAAATAGAATACAATGGACATGGATTGAACAGTAGGCAAAAGTGGTCTATACTAGTTCTCTCCCTTGATTACCGTATAAGCAGAATTTTTAGCGAGGGTATTGGGATCGCTAAAATTGAATATTGCTAAAAATTAATTGCGGTTTATTTGTAATTGATTCTATAGTGAACATTTTAAAATTGCATTCAATTGCAGAAGTTTTACTTTATTTTGCATTAATTGCTCTTTTTGAGATCAATACTGTGATTCATCTATATGAAGATCAAGTCAAGGATAACTGTTCATCACTTTTTATTAGTGAGAACTTTTTTTCTGTGTAATTACAATAGATAATGTGCTTGCAAAAATACCAATCTCAAGTTAAACTTTAAGTGTACTTAAACGATTAGAGGTATAGTGCAAGCAGTATAATCCCAATTCATGAAAATTTTTTGTCTCACAAATAAAATGTAAATGTCCTTTAATATTGCTAAAAAAAGGGTGTCATGAAAATTAATTTTTCAGCAGTAGATTAAAAAAATGTAATGGAAATTTGTAAATATATTTATATTAATAATAGGAGCGCCCTCTAAGGAGTTTCTGGAACAGCCAATCACAGCCTCCGATCATCCATTCCTGAGATCCAATGTACAGTCCATAAAACACCATAAAATGATGCAAAGAGCCAGTAAAGGTATGAAACCACCATGCATTATATTCACTTGTTTTGTAAAGATGCCAGGAGAAAAATGTAAGGAGAATATGTTCTCTAACATTTCCTTCTTTTTTCACAATATATTTGTTAATCTTTCTTATCTTTTTTTATTTTTCGTATGAAGCTAATTAAAGTAAATTGAAAAATCTTGAGATATTGTAAATCGAAGTACATATTTAGAATGAAAAAATCATAAAAACATGTTAACCAGTAAATCTAAGGTTTCACTCATTAAATGAATAACAGTCAATATATAATTATATTTCAACTTCATTAGACAAAATTTGCTGATATACCCTCTCATAACATTTGTTTTTTGAAGTATAGCAGCCAGTCAGAGACTCCTGGCTAGGGAAGATGATAAACTTCAGACCTTTAACTACTTTGTTGTATATTTGTTTAAAACCAGGTAAGCCTACTGACAAAGAAGTTGATGAGGATTTGGCAGAAAGAATGTCTGCAATGAAGAAACCAGGAGAAACAGACATGGATTACTATGAGAGGAGATACCAAGAGAGGGTACTAAGGCCATAATAAAAAAAAAATTCCTAGTTTCTAATCCGAACTCTTTGAAAAATCTAGGCAGGCAGGTTTAACTTGATATTTTTTTTTTCCATTTTGCAATTTTTTATTGACCTGGTTAATGACCTGATTTATCTATAATACCAGCATGAAAGTAATAGTAGAGGTCCATTTATCTCTGAGTACACATATTTCTCAACCAATGACCCTTGTTTTATATATATTACAGCAGTTACCATCTTTTCAGCTGTCAAAATCATGCTGACATTCAAGGGGACTTAAACTAGTCTAGAGTTGAATGGTAGTTGAATACCGATCCCAATCAGAATTAAGACTGTTCCAATGAAAAACAGAAATATAAAAAAATTGGGGTGGGGGTAAAAAATAGAGGCAGGGATTAGAATCTAGGAATATTTTTATTATGGCCTAACATATTGCAAACTTATATATAATTAGGTCTTAATATATATTAATTTATTTTGCTGATTTCCTGAAAATAATTATAAAAGCGACTGATTTCTGCCAGTTTAATGAACTGATACACACCTATTTGGAACAACTATTGATTTCTTTTATTCATATGAAAAGTACCGATATGTTCAAAATAAAGTCATGCTTATAGTTAAAGCTATATTGTAAGGAAACTGCGCCTTCAGAAATCGACTTGCTTTTGGGGAACCGGAATCTTGCTGACTCTCTCAATGATATACTGAAACTGTATAATGTTTTGAAATAGCCGTTTAAATCAAATTGCTTTAACTTGAGTATTTTCAACATTTGTAATGATATTTTAGAGTCAACTTTTTATTTTAAGCAAAAAGCAGAACGTGAGCAGAGTAGAGCCAGAGTTCAGGCAACAAGGCAACTGGCCATCGGCAAACGTAACCCAGCACCATCAAAAATGGCAAAAAAGTGATCAGCAACTGATAAGTGATATATAATAATGTTTGACATGGAAGACCTTTTCAGAAAGCAAAGCTGTGATATCGAAAAAAATATATTAACACATAATGCCCCAGTACCTATTACATGTATTATTGAATGCCGTCCAACCCTTCATTTTGTTTTATTGTGTTACTGTTTTATATCAATTGGTCCAGGATTTTGTTTTAATTACCAGGGATATAATAAGATAAAAGTCAAAGTTAAAACTGAGTCTATTCAAGAGGTAAAAAGCCTCAGGATCAGGGGTTCTCGAGTTAGGTTGCAATCGGCTGATCACATAGGAAGAAGTATTAATTCCTTGAAAATCTTCTTTTTTATACCTGGAACATTAACAAACAACTCGCGTTGGTATAAAGAGCAAAGATGCCTTTTAATCTTTAATTTTGTAAAATTTATTGCTCTTGTTAAAAGGACCTGTTTTACTGAGCACTTGACAAGTTTATACAGTGAGACATGTCTAATCTGACACTTACATATTTCACAGGGTGAAGGATTGCACAGGTTTCTGAATAAATAGTTTTCACTGTTGTAAAAGAAAATCAGTGTCAGGAATTTCTTGAAGATTTAATATCACACAAAGATTATTTCTAACAGAATACATTTTTACAGTAGTCATTTTGTTTTATGATATTTATACAGTGAGACATGTCTAATCTGACACTTACATATTTCACAGGGTGAAGGATTGCACAGGCTTCTGAATAAATAGTTTTCACTGTTGTAAAAGAAAATCAGTGTCAGGAATTTCTTGAAGATTTAATATCACACAAAGATTATTTCTAACAGAATACATTTTTACAGTAGTCATTTTGTTTTATGATATTGAAAATTTGCTTTTGCCCCCCCCCCCCCCAAAGAAAAGAAAAGGAAGGCATGTTTTAATGATATCATTTTGAGAAGTACACAGATTGCTTGATATTTCAAAAATCAACTTTTTAAAAAAAATTGCAAAACCATACATGAATGTGTTAAAAACATGTACCGGTAATGGAAGTTTAGTGCCAAAGTTTTCACATTTTTTTTAGAAAAAAAAATGGTGATTTCATTTTTGTTGCAGTCTTGTTTTGTATGATAAATGTTCATTAATGCTTTAATTTTTTTAAATAAATTTGTTTTAGAAAAAAAATGTGTCCATTATTTTTTTTTTCCTGATTGCAAAAAGAAAAAAAAGAGATTAAGGATCATGCAAGAACCACATTGTAAGTTATATAACGAAAATCATGGGTATAAATTATCTGAGGCCTAGTTGCAAATGAACCCAAGAACATATTGCTTATTACAATTTGACTTGCATGTACATTGTACCTGTACATTTACACAGAATAACCTATACAATACGAGTACAGATTTTCATGGAAAACTTTTTTTAAAATACATTTTATTTAAATCAAATTACAAAGAGCGAAGAATTTTTGTACTATCATCTTGAAAGAAAAGTAGACCAGGTTGGCAGCCCGAGAAAAGCCAGTAAATGAGAAACTTCAAGGGTACAGCAATATACTGTAAACCAACTTTTATTCGCGACGACTTATTTCGCGATTTTCCAGGGATAAACTAGTTCGCGACGATTAATTTTCGCGATCAAGCCTTTTTGATCTGTTTTTAATAGACACATACACTTTAAGGACAGGTTCGCGGCGAGAAATATTCGCGATGACCAGGCCCTCGCGAACTTCGCGAAAATTACTCGCACGCGATGTAGGTGTTGAACAGATGTAGATATTCAAAAGCTCCGAGGAATATTAGTTAGAAAATTTAAAATCACAAAATTTTATCTAGTAGAAAGCCAAAAACAAAATTTTACAGCTAATTTAATATGTTTGTGACCTACATGTACTCTCACTATGAAGAAATTTTCTTGGTACTGATTCCGTATACCTTGAAATATGCATATATGACTCCAAATGTTGAGACTAATGATGACAAAAATGATGCATATCCTACATGTGTAATGACCAAGGTGATGGCCGGAAGACGAAAATCGAGGCTAAAATTATTCCTATAGTTAATATTTGATAAAATTAATAGATTTCATTTGACTGACTGAAACGTTCTTTTCTGAACTTTAATAGTAATATAATAAAGTAATACAGTTGTATAATTATGAAATGTAAGTCTCCGTCAAAACTTACAGAAGACGATAATGCCATTCTACCTTTTGGAGGAGGACAATGTAATGCTTAGTCAAATGGAATTACTTTTTTGAGAAAAGATCCTGATGTTTTAACTTGGTAAAAGAGCATCGTAGTGCTAACTTAAACCCGGCATTCCAAGTTTCCAGGGGGTCCGTAATTGCTCTTAACTCAGTTGATATTATTTTAATTACGACTTTTCAACTTTATACATAACCATTCCCCATGATAAATTAAAGTCCAGGCTTTTTTGAAAAAGACGTTAATGGTAATCTAACAACCAAGCTCTATGATAAACGTGATGGCTTTAACTTTTCTATATTCAACTGCCCTTACTTATGCAGCAAAATACCTTCATCACCTGCATACGGAATTTATCTCTATCAGTTGATTCAATACGCAAGAAAATGCTCTATGTATGAACAATTTCTAAAACGAGGTAAATTATTGACAAACCAGTTGATGAAACAAGTATATCATCAGTTTTTGTTTTGAACATATTTTATTGTATAATTTATACAATGGGATTGGTAACAAGTTCTTGCAACTTAAAAAACCTCTCCCTAATCATCATCAGTCTCGTTTAAAGTCATTATTTCGTAAGTTCTATGGTCGATACAATGACCTTGTCAACAATACACTCTATCATTGAGTCAAAACAACGAACTGACTGACGTTTTTCATACTAATTGCTAATCCAGTATTTATACACTGAATTAACCACGGATTTTGACAATCATCAATTCCGATCATGACAAGGAGCACACGGCGGGTGTGACCGGTTGGCAGGGGATGCTCACTCCTCCATGACACCTGATCCCACCTCTGATGTTTCGGAGATCCGTGTTTGCTCTGCTACTATTTTGTCTTGTTTTATGGACTTTGATATTGAATACTGTTCGTTATCTCCATATCCTTCATTCAAATGAATAAGCAGCCAATATACTGTAACCTAATCACCTACATAAAGGGTTTATAAATCCCTGTTGATTCGATACTCAAAAGCATGTTCTACGTATGTACTGTTTCGAAAACGAGAAACTTTATTGAGTTGATGGAACAAGATTATTAACAGTCTATAGTTTAAAGTCATAATTTCGTACGTTCTATGGTCGATATAATTACCTTGACAGCAAATACAATTTACCTTTGAGTCAAATGCTGACTGAAGTTTTTCGCACTAATTGTAAGACCATCAGTTACACACTGAATTGTTGACGAATTTTTCCGTTATTTTTCGATCATGACAAGGAGCACGCTGCGGGTGTGACCAGATGGTAGGGAATGATCACCCTTCCATGGCACCTGATCTCAGCTCTATCTTTGAGGTCAGTGTTTGCTCTACTCCTGATTTGCAATACTAAAATGGACTTCTGAGCTTGAATACTGTTCGTTTCTCCAAATATTTCATTCATATTGATTACAAACTGTTACAGAACAAATTGCTGTTTTCTAAGATAGACATACAAAGATCATAAACTTAATGTGGTAAAATGCAGCATAAAGTTAACTTTTTCTAAAATGATTTCTTCAGCATCGATCAAAATTCCACGCCCTCCAAAAAATCTTTCCTTTTGTTCGACATATTGGAACATTTCAGATTTTGCAGATGTTAAATAACTGTCCCCTGTCGATGTCAGTGTTTTCAATTACCTTTACATATCGGTGACGTTGTAAACTTTACAAGTGGTACCTGGGACAGATAAATGTCATAAACCCATTTATCTGCAAGGTACCCCCCGCACATTATGAAGAACATTTAATGGAGTGAACAACATCAAATTTATAATGACTCGAACAATTTATCAACAATGTTTACGTCAGCCATTGGAAAAATCAGAAAACGCAGCAAAAATTAATATGTTTTAAAGTGCATTACAAAAATGACAAGTGTTAAGGGCGCTAACAGAACGTCAAAGGAGAGAAAATTCATTATTTTTACCTGTCTATCCGTAATAAATTATTAAATAGGTTGGAACTCTCTTTTCCTTTTTTTTCAAAATTACACCTAATAGATCAACTTACTTCTGTTGTATAATGTTAGAATATACTCTCGTCCAGAACTAATTGCATCTTATTCATAATTCCCTTCCTAAACTAACATATATATCCTACATACTAATAATAAGTGTATTATTATAGTGCCAAAGTCAACAAATATTTCATCCTTCGAAGGAATTTCAGAATCTAAATGCAAGAAATGTCTATTCCTTCTTTATCAGTTTTATAATTTTACGGGCGATTTAAATCTCTTTGAAGGCTACTTAATACATATGTTTTAAATATGTTTAAATATGAAAAATATGTTTACTATAAAGAGAAGAAAGTCTTATTCCGGCAAGTGTCCGCATGCCAACGGAAAAAATTCTAAATGGCCACTCAGATTCAATTTGATTTTAAAACTTTATTACATCCGGGTTCTTAATTGAGAATTATAGTATATTTATAGACATCCCTTATTAAATGAAATAATTTATAAGGGCTTTTTAAATAATGACTATAAATTATATGTAATTTCTTTTAATGGTATCGTTATTTTTTTTACTTTATGAAAGTTTCAAAGTTGATGACAATATATTATGGTTTCTTTGAATCTGTGATAAATATATTTTAATAGGAATCTTGACAGTTTTTACAAGAAGTTTTGTGATGTTAAATGTTACTTCCCCAAATGGGTTCAGGCATAAAACGTTTGAAAAGCCCCCAAGAGATTAATACATGTATATATATCTTGTCCAAACACATCTTATTATACCTAATAAAAGCTTTCTACGAAAACACAGCATAAATTTATCAAATTAAAACATGCTTTAAAGGTTAGAGGTAGTTATCCGGGAAAATCGAGGCTCGGTGTCCTTAAACGGAAAGATCATGTTAATGTTTCCACTTTTAATCTTCATCGAGATTATGTCTTTTTAATAGATAATCACATCTTTAACACCTGCAGAGTTTAAATACAGTAGCTATAGATTTATTCATTAATACGTATGTACCCCACTCAAGTGGGGACATTTAAGTTTATTAAACTATAGTGTGCAACATGTTGCCAACACGAATGAATATAAAATTTAAATGTTTTAAAAACTTAGGTTCATCAAAATGTTTCTAAATATACCGTCCCTGGTTGACCGAGTCAATTACATTGCTGTATTTTCACAATACTTAATTATGTCCGGGTATTAAAATTATCAAAGTATAATCCTGTTAGATATGTATACCAAATGAACCTCCCTTTAACTCTGAGAGCAAAATTCAAAAATCGATTCGTCAATGTTAAATTTTTTGTGTAGAAAGCAGTGGTTACATTTTAGATTTCTTTATAATCAAGGGTTCTTAGAGGCTGGTGTAAATGACGTGTCATTGATGCATGTTTTAAACAAATAAAGTATCCTCAGAGACTTTTCGGCATCAAAAGATGGGAATTAGACGTTTGAAAGTTGTGGTTTTTCTTTTAAATAAATTCCTTTTATGACGCCTTTTGTACAATTCTATACGACTGTTTGTGTATTTCTTCCCTTTTTGACAGTTTCTATCCTAATTATATTTTAACAATGACCAATGAAAAAGACCGATCTGATTATCAGTGACCAAAAATAAGCTTTATATTTATATATTTAGATTTAAAAAATAAAATTCGATGAAGACAAGCCTGCCTGCATACCTTACTGTATGAGGGAGTAGCGCGCAGGGTTTAATGACAAAGTGTGACACGACGAGAGAGATATAAAAGGCTTGTCAACACACTACAAGTCATTTCACCGATACACGCGATCGAGAACGGATGGGTTTTAATTAACGCAAATCACAGACCTCATTAATACGAAATAAAGGAGTCTTACTATCGAGTTTTTCTGTGAATTTCTGTTGTTTATTGTTAATTAGTGCAATTGTCTGCGCGATAAGAGAAGTGTCAGTCTGTATTGGGATGTACTTAGCATGCTTAGATACTGAAGACAGAGCCAGTGCATTTTTACAATGTAGGACTCTGGCCTTGATCGTTTGTTTATATATGGAATATACTTATTAACTCTATGACTTTAATTGAATAAAACCAACATGCAGGACAAGATAGTGTCGTGTTTTGGGACGGGGTGTGATGAGAGATTTCAGTGTTATCAGTCAGCGGAGGACGCCAAGAAAGCCAAACAGAGGAACAAACAGATTAGTAAACTACTGAAACAGCACCAGAAGGAGGAACTCAAACGGCTCAAAATACTGCTCCTAGGTAAGGGTTCAATCTTAATACTGCTCAAACAGCACAAACAGAGGAGCTCAAACGGCTCAAAATACTGCTCCTAGGTAAGGGCTCAAACTGCTTAAAATACTGTTCCTAGGTAACGGTTCAAACTTAATACTGCTCCTAGGTAAAGGTTCAAAATTAATACTGCTCCTAGATAAGGGTTCTATCTTAATAATGCTCCTAGATAAGGGTTCTATTTTAATAATGCTCCTAGGTAAGGGTTCTGTCTTAATACTGCTCCTAGGTGAGGGTTCAAACTTAATACTGCTCCTAGGTAAGGGTAAGGGATAAAACTATTCCTAAGTCAGGGGTTCAAATTTAATACTGCTTATAGGTAAGGCTTCAAACTTAAAACTGCTCCTAGATAAGGGCTAAAACTGCTCCTAAGCCAGGGGTTCAAACTTAATACTGCTCCTAGGTGAGGGTTCAAACTGCTCCTAAGTCAGGGGCTTAAACTTCATACTGCTGTAAGATAATATGTTCAAGCTTAATACTGCCCTTAGCTAAGGGTTCAAACTGCTCGCTAGTCCTTTTCACCTTAACATTGATTCTTGGTAAGGGATTCAAACTTGATACTGCTCCTTGTTCAGGGTTTCAATCTTAACACTTCTCCTTCATCTTAAGTCAGGGGTTCAAACCTAATACTGCTCCAAAGTCAGTGGTATAAACTGAAAACTGCTCCATAGTAAGGGATCAAACTAAATGCTGCTCCTTAGCAAGGGGTTCAACGCAAATAATACTCCTTGGTGAGGTGTGAAAACTGAATACAGCAACTAAGTTAGATGTTTAGGGGTTCAGACTTAATACTGCTCTTTGGTTAGGGGGTCAGACTTATTCCTTCTCCTTGCTTAAGGTTTCAGACTCAGGTTACTTCTTCTAGCTAGTCAAAATGTTAATAAGGACACTTGTGAGTGTTCCTGAATGGAGAAAACTGTTTGTTTCTGTGTTATTAATATTTGTGTTGGTTGAAGCTTACCATTTCCAATCCTCCTATATATTTGTAAGGTCTACTCTCTTTTATAATTGTTTCTGTGGGACTGCATTTTATAACCCTAGCAAACGACCGTTAAGCATACAAAAAAGATAAAAACTTGTACTTTTCATCTAGATGTCCTGGCTTGCACCTTTGCTAAGTGCAATTCAATAAGCACAGGGTACAAAGATCCATTTAGCTGAAATATAAGAGGCCACTCGAAAATCATTTATATTTTATTGATAAGTGGAATTTATGTATTTATAATAGCTTTATATATTTGTTTTAACCGACTTAACATCCTTGTAAAAGTGCGTGCAAGTACATTGACAAAATATACGTGCTATGTCGTTCATAGTTCACGATGAATTATAAACAAACTCCACGCGTTCACCATTTGTAAGCACTATTGCGCAATCCTGAAAACAAGCTATCAAAGGTTCTTCAGGACTTTATTCTGTGGCGATTCGAATGTCAATTGTGTAACAACAAAATAATTGAACTTTTGAATGCAGGACTTGATAACATTTTGTAGAAAAACCAAGTGTTTACATGAGATTACAGTTATCTTCCGTGTGTTGACATGCGAACTTTTGGAGCAGTATAAAGGTATCGTACATCGGACCTTTATCACGGGAACAAAGAATGAAACGTAGAACCTATAGATGTATTTATTACACAGACTTAATCCCCTGTCCCAATATCGTCATCGCTTTCTTCCGGTCCTATTTTCTACTATCAACAGGAATTATACTGGACTAACTAGTTTAAAGTTATCAAAAAGATTTATGAAAAAGACCTTCTCTTTCAAGATATCAATGCCAAACGTGTTGGAATTCTCACCAAAACGAAAGTTACTCAGCGACAAACATACCTAAATGACACAACACCTTTGTCAGGTTAAGAAATAGTCGTGACGTCAGTCAGAATTAGGTGGCATACATTAAATCTTTAACAGAACTTATGGCCAAACATAACATTTTTAGGCATTTTAAATTAATTATTCTTATTTCATGCTAATTTTAACATCAAGCAATTTCTCAAAGTCGACTTTGCTACAGGTGTGAAACTGGTCCAGTTCTGATAACTCGGTTATTAATTGCAATGCGCTAATTCAGTGTCACTTTTCCTAGTTTTTTGTACTATGTGACATTGTTAGGGTGAGAGAATCACAAGTCTAAGTTTTTTTCCTGTTTTTGTCATTACAGGCACGGGTGAGTCAGGAAAGAGCACCATATCAAAGCAGATGAGAATCATTCACATCAATGGCTTTACAATGAGGTAAATATTGTTAAATCGGCTGGTTTCCCCGTGTGGTACAAGCTGTAACGCCCTTTTACCACCATTAAGCTGTATAGAAATGACAATGTCTTATACTACTGATCTACAAAAGAGAAAAAAATGAAAAAGTGACCCAGCAACAAAATTAACACAAGATTCTCTACAGAGAGCCATCCATCAAACCATTTTCCTTGATTATTTTTGGAAACAATTCCTCTTTCATTGTGGCAACCTCTGAAAAGTACACTAGAAACATGTATTTTCTTCTTGATTCAGTAGGTCAAATGCTTGTACTTGTTCTAAAAGAGAATCTAATGCATGTTTTTATGTTTTACAGAGAACGACTGGAAAAAATATGTGATATTAGAAAAAACATCAAAGAATCGATTGTGGTAAGAAAGTCTCCGTACATTTATTTCATTGATGAGTTCTTTGTGAATGAAATGGCGTTATTGTAGCTGGCGATTGATCACAACTAATCAATCAAGTAGATCTCTGTTAAATGTCTTCAATGTTTTCCTATTGATATTGCTTCCTTTTGTGATACCATGTTTAATGCAATCAATAACGGTGATAAATATCTTCGCTCTCTCTATATATAGGTGTTGCTTTTGGCAATGCATCAACTCGACATTCCATTGGAAAAAGAAGAAAGTAACGGGAGCCGAGATTTTATTCTGAGGGAGGCGGGTAACCCTGACCTTCACAGAACAAGTGTAAGTGACACCCAAGTAAAAACAAATCATAAAATAAAATTTATTCAAAACTGTTTGATATTCAATTTTCAAATAGAAATAGAAATACAGCTAACATTTAATTTTCTATCCATCAATAGGAATTTCTGGACCACGCAGACATGTTGTGGGCGGATGCTGGGGTTCAGGCCTGTTACAGCCGATCACACGAATTCCAACTGATCGACTGTGCTAAATAGTACGTACCTCTTGGTCTCTCTAAACATAGAGTTCGTGGGGGAGAATCTGACAATTCATTGAAAACTATCATGACCTCTTTCAACAATTACTCTCAAAATGACATGTTTTCAACCAAATACATTTCATAACATTTGTTTAATAAGTGCAATTCAATCGTTTTTAGCTTCCTGGATAAACTCCACGAAATCAAAAGTCCCGCTTATGTGCCCTCAGACCAGGATATTTTGAGGTGCCGTTGTGTGACCACCTCTATCCAGCACATCGAGTTTGAGGTCCCGGATGGAGGGAACCAAATTAAATTTAATGTGTACGACGTCGGTGGACAGCAAGGAGAACGTAAGAAGTGGATCCAAGTGTTTGACAGTGTGACCGCCATTTTATTTGTTGTGGACTGTAGCAGTTTCGATCAGACACTTCGTGAGGATCCAACTAAAAATAGACTTTTAGAAGCTTTGGAGAACTTTGACCAAGTCTGGAACAATAGATTTCTTCGATACGTTTCTGTGCTTCTCTTTATAAACAAAATAGACATTTTAGCTGACAAGATCGCCAGAGGGCGCGACATCTCAGAGCTTACCAAGAAGTACCCCGACATCTTCCCAGACTTCGACAAATTCAATCCCTCAAGTAACTATCCTTTACTAAAATACTGTTACAGCTTTTGCGTGAAGATATGTCTGGTTTTTAGCATTATTATTAATTGGTGTTTTTCAATGTACTTTTTTATCTTTCAGATGCTGAGAAACTGCAGTTCTTAGAAGCTTTTCCATCCACCGATTCCGAACCAAGGAAAAAATCCCGTACAACGTCTCGTCCTGATGTCCATCCTGACACAGTTAAAACAGCCGTCTACATTAAGCATCTATTCATGGTAGGTCCTTATTGTCATTGAGAAGTGTTTAACCTGAGTACAAGGAAATTTTATCAGTCGTTAAGGAAAACGGTTCGTTTCCTGTTGTAGACTTCTAGTTCGTTCTTGTATGCTCTGTACATTTATGCCATTTAAACATTTAATCGTCTTGTTATCTTAAGTCTAATTTTAACCTCCTTTTCCAGAAAATCGTGAAAGGAGAACTTAACCTGAAAAAAAGAATTTCAAAGCAGGAAAGAAACTGGCACGATGAACATAGCTGTGAATATTTCTACACATGCGCAATTGACACAAATAATGTTCAGCGTGTGATGAATGGTTGCCGAACACTCATTATACAAAATCATCTGAGAAGATTCGGCATCATCTGATTTACATGTTACTTTACCCTGCAGATAAGACAGGTATCCATGCTTCCGACTTTGTGATAATAACTCTAGTCAGACGGTGAGTTTGTGACTGTCCTGTTAATACTCGTTCCAGGAGAGGTTTTATATTTTATGCTGCGGAAATGACTTCTTAATGACTTAATATTCGTCATCAATTACCCAGACAATTTTTTTTAAATTTCATGCTGCGGAAATGACGTCTTAATGACGTAATATTCGTCTCAATTACCCAGATTTATGTATATCTCGTGAGATCCTGAGTTACGGAGACTGGGAACTATTTAAATATGTCTCCTATATTTTATTATATCAATATTTTAACGTTTGATAATATATAATGAGTCTTTCTATATCCATGCACGTATGTTACATATATACAGTGTAAATATAGTTGATTTTAAGATTATTATTTTCAGACATTTTATGATCATGTTACGCTGTTTTAATAAAACAATGAAATATTAATTCCTTGTTGTTTAGATTGGTTAAACTATTTCAGTACAGAAAGGATGTAAAATTCGTTTATTGAATCGGACAATCATTAGTTAATGTTATTCCGAAGAAAAATATAAAATGCTACTGTATGGAGCTATGCACTGTGATTGACTTAGCTGTGGGTGGGTGACTTAATTCTGATTGAATCGAGCATACATTAGATTCAAGTGAAGCAGATCTTAAAGCATTCTGCTACTTCCTTAATCTCATCAATAAGTATCATATCCTCCAGATTTGATATTACATATAATCCTCCAGATTTGTCGAAGCATAATTTATTACGTAATAAGATAAAATTGGCAGGACGTGCTATTTGCAGAAGTATCAGTTAATTCTGATTGTAATATCTTACATTAGATTTAAACTCGTCGCGTGTCTTTTGTACTAGATAGCTTTTGGACATGCTAAATCGTGTCTAAAATTTTAAAGTTCCAAGAATCGAAAGCGGAAACCAGTCCTTGTAAAAATCACACCTCTTTGGTCTGACGAAGATAATTTTGTGTGAAGATATTGGCCGACATGTAAAAATTAGTATGAAAGCAGCCAATCAACATTCCACGAAATAAATGATAGATTGTTTTTGGCAAGGTGGTTGTACTGATCATAGAATTGCACAATGTTGAGTCTAGAAAGGAGGCTGTTAATACCCTTGTTGCATCATTTTTTGTCAATAACTTGCTCATTTAACAAATAGTTCATACATAGAGCATGCTCTTGCGTATCAAATCAACTGGGAGACATATACTTCGTATTCAAGTTGCTAAATAAATGGGACGTTAAAGCCATATTACATTAATCATTAGGTTTTGCTGTTAGGATGCCATTACCGACTTTATTCTAGTTAAATCTCTGATATGTCAGACTCTACAGTAATCTTTTACATGTTTCATTTCCAGCTTAAAGTTAAATATCAAATAAACTTAGGAATGAAAATGAACATTCTTAATAAGTAAAACGTCATAAAATATAACTGTATGTTGAATTGAAGTCCACACCAAGAGAGTTCTTTTCATTTTGTTGTTTTTAATGTATTTTGCTTCATACGAATATATTAGAAGTATTTTAAATACAAGTATAAAAAGTAAAAAGGATTTATTGAAATACTTTTTAATCTTCAAAACAAATAAATCGAATTTGGGTAGTCATTCATGTACTAATGATGTATTTCTATACTACATAACAATGATAACATTTCTTACAGCCTTACCTATAGAGCTGGTTCCAGTAAATGTGAAACGAAATTTCTTTCTTAACTTTAAGGGCCTATTAAATAATGACAGCAGTGAAGAAACTCCGGTGTACCGTACAACAATATTTTGAGAAAATATTGAAATTTATGTGATATATAAGAAGTTATAAGGAACAACATAGTATTCATGCTCAAAAGTCCATTAAACAATACAAAATAGGAGCAGAGGAAACACAGACCTCCGAAACATCAGAGGTTTGATCAGGTGTCATGGAGGAGTGAGCATCCCTTGCTGACCGGTTACACCCGCCGTGTACTCCTTGTCATGATCGGAAAATAACGGAAGATCCGTTGTCGATTAAGTGGGTAAATAACGCCGATACAATAAGTATGAAAAATGTCAGAGGAATTTGACTTAATGATAAATTGTATTTGCTGACAAGGTTATTGTATCGACCATAAAACCTACGAAATGACTTGAAATGTAACTGTTTATATTCTTGTTTAAACAACTTGTTTGTCGATAATTATGTTCCCCAAGAGAAGTGACCAATATAATAGATATAGCCGCAACTTTTCTATTTTTTCTTGAAATGCTTTGAAACTCATAATGTGAAGATATATTAGTAGCATATACATGATGACATGGTCAAAATAGCAAGATCTCACGCGCATGCACGTGCGCTGCGCTCTGATTGGCTGAAACTAAAGTCTCAATATCTTTCTTGTTTTTTCACAAAATCCTTTGAAATTTTGAACATAGCCATGCATTAGGATATCCTACAACATGATGTATAACAATTATCATAAAAGCATGTGCATGCACGTGCGCTGCAATCTGATTGGCTTAAACTTTAGATAGCTATAACTCCCTTGGTTTTCAACCAATCAGGATGGGATTTTGAACATAGATAGATATAATGGATTCCTACAAGAAGGCATGTCACCATGCACATGCATACACGTGCGTGTACGTGCGCTCCAATCTGATTGGCTGAAACTTTAAACAGCTATAACTCCCTTGGTTTTCAGCCAAACGGAGTGGGATTTAGAACATAGATAGATGTTATAGACTTCTACAAGAAGGTATGGTCATCATGCCCATGTATGCACGTGCTTCCACGTGAAATGAGTAAAATCAAAAATACACTTGAATGAGCATATTTTTTAATACGTTTGGATTAAATATTTTAATATTTAGTATATTTAATATATATATTGTGTTGACAAGATGATATGGTCATTATGCACATGCATTAACATGCGCACGCGTGTAATGCTAAAATTTGAATGAACTTGGTACACTTCTGGGTAAATGTTGTTAAAGTCTCAAATGCATAGAGTTTGTCTTATTTAATGAAGCTTACAGGAAATACTGCACCAAAAGGGATTTGGGGAGCGTTTGGGGAACATCTGTAACGGTCCCCGTTACAATTAGCACTAGTTATTATTAAGGTCTTCCGTCTTCAGCGGAAGACCTTACTGTTATTCTTAGGTTTCTTTTCCACTATTTTTATTATTATTATTATTATTATTATTGTTTTTTTTCTTACCGATTTTGTGCACGCGATTTCTCGAAAACGGCTCGCTCGATTTTCATGAAACTTTCAGGACTGATAGAGCATGGAAAAAACTAGATATATATTTTTTTGTTTTGATGACGTCACTTCCGGTTTTGAGATTTTCGCGTTTTAGTGATTTTCAGAGGGTCACTTTGTCCGGCAGTTTTCTGAAAACCCACTCAACACAGAAGCATGAAATTTTTAGTGATGCTAGAGCAACCTTTGGAGAAGTGAATTTCGTATATCGCAACCACCGGAAGTACGAAGTGCCGACGCTCGCTATGGCCCGAAAATTGTCCTATCAAGAATTTCAAAATTTTTAACACATTTTCTACGATAACTTTTTACCTAGAAATATTTTGTTAAAGCATGTAGAACAAAAGAAGTGTAGAATTCAAAGATCTTTCAAATGACATCTCGAAAAAAGGACTGGCCCTTAAAATTAAGGGCCTAGAGGGGCCGAAAGTTTTTTCTTTTTATCTCAAAAACTATTGAGAATTTGTAATGCGTCAAAGAAGCAAAGTTGTTCAAAATGTCAAGCTTAATCTATCGAAGTCGTCAAAATATGTCCGGCGTCGTCACTTCCGGCCAAACCGGAAGTAGTCGAAAAACTCGTATATTTGCCGTTCTTGACAAGTTTTTGGGTTACATTTGTCTCTGGGAGCATAAAAAGTAATTTTTCCGTCCGTCGTCGTCACTTCCGGTCAAACCGGAAGTAGCAAAAATATGGCTTATTTTGAAGGTTTTGATGCAAAATTTTATTTTTTTTCCAAATTTTGTGCACGCGATTTCTCGAAGGCTACTGGATGGAATTACATGAAATTTTCAGAAAAGTTGTGTCATAACATGAATTTGATCTATCTGAGCGATTTTTTGAAAATTCTTTTCTGGTGCCAAGTTAGGGGACATTTCCTGTTTTAAAATGACATTTTGTCTGTGGTTAATCTAAAGAACGGTAAAAGATATCAATGTGAAACTTTCAGGGATTATAGATCGTGATAGATACTAACCAGGACGCGACCTTTTGTTCGTCGTCAATACTTCCTGTTGTTAGGAGATGCGAATTGCAAAAAGTGTATTTTCTAACTTTTTTTGTTTTTCAATATTTTTCATTTATTTTTGGAATGTTAATAGAGACCCTTCTATTGATGTTTACTATATAAGTTGTTTGAATATTGGGTAATCTGAACTCTAGATATTAATATTTGAAAATCTGAAGCGGGCCCAAGATGGCGGCTGTCTCTGTCCATTCCGCCATTTCACGAGTAGGGGTTTATAGGGGCAGCTGAGCATTTGATTACACCATTCTGACATAAGGATACATGAAATGTGAAAAACTACTTGGACTTTCACGTAGTAGTACGTTGCAATTCAGTGTCAATCTTAAAACTTAATTTCCGTTTCACTGCTTTAGTGTAACTGGGCTGGGTACAATATGTAATGTGTACAATGTGTTAAATATACTTTCTTAACGTTGAAATAAAAGAAAGGCGATAAGAACATTATATTTATTTAATTTCATTGAAGCTAAAAACCTATTTAATAGATCAGTCCAAAGAAAAGGTGCGAATATTTACTCGTGGCGTTTGGCGCGAAATTATAAAAAGTGCCCCGCCTTTTCTGATTCGTAGAAAGGTATACTGTTGCAAAAGTATACACAAATATATTTAGAGCAGTACTCCCAATGGCTTAATGGTTTTCGCGTTGTGGATAAAAGAGAAAAAAACGCATTCACATTGGCGACCTGGGCTCAATCCTCCTTGTGACCAAAATTTTGAATCACTTTTCAGTTTGATTTTATAAGGTTTTTTTTCGTGAATCGGACGGAAGACCTCTCGTTGCTCGCAACGAGATTGTTTCTAGTTAAGGTCTTCCGTCTTCACGGAAGACCTTATAGTGATTCTATTGTTTCTTATTATTATTATTAAGGTCTTCCGTCTTCACGGAAGACCGTATAGTTATTCTACTGTTTCTTATTATTCTTTTGATTATTTTTTTTCCAAAATTTTGTGTGCGCGATTTCTCGAAGACTACTGGATGGAATTACATAAAATTTTCAGAAAAGATGCGTCGTAACATGAACTTGATCTATCTGAGCGATTATTTGAAAATTCTAATCTGGTGCCAAGTTACGGGACATTTCCTGATTTTAAAATGACATTTTGTCCACGATGAAACTCAAAAACTGTAAAAGATATCAATGTGAAACTTTCAGGGAT